CTTGGGTTTCCGAGGCAGTATCACTATGGAAGTAGATCGCCCCATCTTCCTTCCTAGAATGGCTGGTGGGTTTGAACTGCCAGCCTTCTGGTTAGCAGTCAAGTGCCTCAGGCACCTACCTGAGACATATTGTACAGTGAGCCTGTGTCTAAAATAATAATGAAAACAGCACCTGTTATGCCATTCTGACCCTTAATGTGATCTTTGTATTTATTAAGACTGACTTAGGATGTACATGGCAGTGAGGCTACAGGGGAAAAGTGCCAATGAACACAGCTACACAGTAGTGGCAGGGACTAAAGAATTCTATGAGAAGGAAATACTTTAAAATAGAAAGGTGTGGAGTAAATGATAAAAAAAAAAAAGAATATGACAAACTGAATTGGATATTGGGAGAAAAAAATGAAAATAATGAATAGATGAACAGAGAAACAGGAAACATACAAACAAACATATCTGCCACTTCAGTGGAGAAACCAGTCTAACAAGCATCATTTCTTGCAATTCTCTCTTTCTTGGAGTACTAATCTTCTGCAATGACACACTTTGATAACAACTGCTTGAGAAAGAAACACATACTAAGTCCTCAACCTCGCAAAGAAAATATAACCCATTCATCTCTTACCATCTCCAGAAGACATTTTCAGCTGGGCCCCCGTTATATTTTGTCCTTATGATAAGAATTACACTATTTTCAGATATCCACTGGTTTTTTGATTTTTTTTGTTTTTCCAAATTTTAAAATTTGGAAGACAGCTACCTTGACAACTGACTGTAAGAGATCCATATTTGTACCCATTCCAAAGAGAGATAATCCAATAGAATGTGGAAATTATCAAACAATGACATTTATATAACACACAAGTCAAATCTTGTTGAAGATAATTAAAAAAAAAAAAAAGATTGCAGCAGCATATAGACAGGGGACTTCCAGAAGTGCAAGATGGATTCAGAAGTGGATGTGGAATGAAGGTTATCATTGCTGTGTCAGATGAATCTTGACTGAAAACAAAGAATACCAGAATTATGTTTACTTGTTTTTTGAGTATGGAAAAGCATTTGATTATGTGAATCATAACAAGTTATGGATAACATTGAGAAAAATGGGAATTCCAGACCACTTAACTGTCCTCATGAGGAAACTATGCATAGATCATTAGGCTGTCATGTGAAGAGAAAAGAGGGATACTTCATAGTTGAAAATGAGGAAGGGATTGTGTCAGGATTGTATCCTCTCACTATACTTATTCAATCTGTATGTTAAGCAAATAATCTGAGAAGGTGGACTATATGAAGAACGTGGCATCAGGATTGAGGGAAGACTCATTAACAACCTGTGATATTCAGACAACACAACTTTGCTGGATGAAAGTGAAGATGACTTGAAGCACTTACTAGTGAAGATTGAAGACTATATTCTGCAGTATGGACTACATTTCAACACAAAGAAAATGAAAATCCTCACTACTGGACCAATAAGCAGCATCGTGATAAATGGAGAAAAGACTGAAGTTGTCATAGATTTCATATTATGTTACTTGGTTCCACAATCAGCACTCATGGTAGCACCAGTTAAGAAATCAGATGACATATTGCACTAGGCAAATCTGCTCCAAAAGACCTCAGAGTACTGATGACCAAAGAAGTCTCTGAAGACTAAGATGCACCTAACCCAAGCCATGGTATTTTCAGTAGCCTCATATGCATGTGAAAGCTGAGCAATGAATAAGGAAGACAGAAGAAGAGTTGATAGTTTTAAATTGTGGTTTTGGCATAGAATACTGAAAGTAGCATGGAATTCCAGAAGAATGGACAAATCTTTCCTGGAAGAAGTGCAGCCAGAATGCTCCTTGGAAGCAAGAGTGTCCAGACTTCATCTCACTTACTTTGGTCATGTTTTCAGAAGGGACCAGTACCTGGAGAAGCATATCATGCTTGGTAAAGTGGAGAGTTGGCAAAAAAAGGAAGGCCCTCAACAAAATGGATTGACATAGTGGTAGCCATGATGTGCTTAGGTAGACCAAGGATTGTGAGGCTGGCCTAGGATTGGGCAGTGTTTTGTTCTCTTTTACATAGGGTCACTATGAGTTGGAGCCAATTCAATGGCACCTATCATCAACAACACGGTTTCTCTACTCTTTTTAAAAATATGTTTTATTGTATTTTAGAAGAAACTTTCCACAGCAAATTAGGTTCTCTTTTAAAAATTTTTATACCAATTGTTTTGTGACATTGTTTATAATTTTCACAATGTGTCAACATTTTCATTCTCTTTGTTCTACTTAAATTAACCTAATTTTCTTTCCCCTCCTTGCTTTCTCATCTTGATTTTGAGTAAATGTTGAGCATTTAGTCCTATATAATTGGTCTTTTAAGGAACATATTACTCATGGCACTATTGCTTATTTTATAAGTCAATTAATATTTGGCTAAAGGGTGACTTCCAGGACTGGCTTCAGTGCCAAGTTCGAAGGGTATCTAGGACAATAGTCTCGGGTTCTTCTACCTTCTATTGGTCAAGTGGGTCTGACTTTCTCAGTAATTTGACTTTTGTTCAACATTTTTCTAACATTCTATCTGGGGCTTTCTATTGTGACCCTGGTCAGAATAGTCAGTAGTGTTATATCGGCACCATCTAGTTCTCCTAGTCTCAGGTTAGAAGAAGCTGTGGTTCATGTGGCATATTAGTGCTATGGACTAATTTCTTCTTTGAGTCTTTGGTTTCTTTCATTCTCTTTTGCTCCAGACATATAACTGCTACATCTATAGTTGTATTTAGATGACAGTACTCTTCCACTTTTGGAAATACATGAGAGGATTTCAGACCTCTGAACAATTGAAGTTAGAGATGCTCATCTGATTTGCTTTGACCCATGTCATATGGGGGAAAGTACAGTGTGTAATTGCAGTAAGAAAACTTTAGTTATCAAGAATTGGTTCTCCAACCTTGTCTTCTCCTGACATGTGGAAAGGGACATGGCCGAAGGACAGAGCAGCTTGGATGCCATACCTACAAGTATAAGATAGCAGCCTCAGAGTAGCCACACTTTGTATGTGCAGGAAATAAACCTGCCTTGCATGTTAAGGCATTGCTTACCTGCTGTAATTATCTCAGAATGTTCTTACTAATGTTGATTAATGCATACATTCAAACATTACCTCTGTCTCATATGAAGAATATTACTTTTTCTGTCAACACCAAGGTACTTGGTATCCATACATTTTTCTATCAGGATTACTTTAAGACTTCTACATTAAGAAACTCTTGGTCATGACATCTGTCAACCCTATGAGTGTCAGTGTTAATCAGACAATAAGTGTCCCTTATAATTTCTTGTAAGTATGTGATATCATTGGGGTTTCTCACAGAACAGGAGTCTAAAAAAACTGTAGTAAACCTTAGTGAAAATTTCCAAATGGGGTTTTGTTTTCTGAAATGCCTTGCTGAATTGCTGTTAAGGGTGTACCCTTAACAACTGAGTTCCACTTGAAAAATCGTGACTTTTATTTAGGTAGAGTTGTGTTTCTACTGTATAATAACAAAAGGAATACAGAAATACTTATAGAACCATGAGGTACTTAGCTTTTCTTATACTTATTTTATTTAAACTTAAGGTAAACCATATAGGTAGGAAAATAGATTTGATAAAATTTGTTGGATATTATCACATGAAGATTAAATTGAATTTGGATTAATATGAACATGTTTCTGTTTCATGGAATAAAAGTGTTCAAGCTTCTTCTAGATTCAGGTACATCTGAATTAGCTCATATTGGTGGTGGCTACATCTTATGAATATTCCAAACAAAGAATACAACACACAAACATACACACACACATACTGCTTGAATAATTTCTTACAGAAACATCAGCATAAGGCCAGTCCCTATGAGGCACAGGTTAAGATGTTCCAAATGTACAACTTTTCAAAACTGCCATGCCACTCCATCATCTCTGACATCAACTCCTCCTTTTCCCCTCAATAATCTCTCTCCTGTTGTAGGGTTCCATATTTTTCTGTAACATCTCACAGAATTCACAAACTCCCAAGGAAACTGCTCACGTGGTGGTGGTGGAGGCTGGGGCTGGTAGGCTGGCAAGCCCCAGGTGTGTGGGTAAGTCTGGAGGATTCCCCTAATACACATGGTTGCATGGTTTGGTGCACCCATATTGGCAGTTCAGATGGCGGCTGTTGTCTCAAGTCCAAGGCTGAGATGATAACAAAGCAAATGCAGAACCAGATCAAGAGAGCAGACTTCCCCAGAACATTCCTATATGTAACCTCATAGGAGCTAAGGGTGGTGACTTGAGTTACACCATCCAGCAAGGTGGGACACAAGATACATCCCTCCCTAAGCAGGAATACAGAATAGGATTTACAATACATCACAAAATGGAGGATGACTGCTAGAAGGACCATATCAAGAAATTCACTGCACTGCATATAAACATACAAACACGGAAAAAACAAGCAGAACTCTTCTTTGTACTCAAGGTCTTATTATCATAACAAATGAAAAAAGAAAGACTTCCATATCTAAGAAGCTCTTTGGGAAACTTCAGGAAAATTTCCCTCCATTAATGCTTGTGTAAAAGAATCTATGATAACCACTTCTCTTTCTCTCTCTCTCTTTTTAATTTTAAAACTTAATAAAAATATTATAATTTAACAGTTAGCTACTTCTTTAATGCTAAGTTCCTGGTATTTATGTTGCTTTAGGAATAATTTAGGTTTCTCATAATTTAATTATGTAGCTATCATTTCTACCAAGCCAAGTATATTCTTGAAGATTTATCATATGGCAACAAAAAAAATATATTAATTTTCACACATCTTTAGCAAGAAGACATGTAAAATATAGGGAAAAAATAAGTCCTCAATTATTTTCTTTGAACAAAACCTACACACTTTTAACCACCTTTTATACACAATCTCTCTTTGTACATTTTAATGAAGTACTGGTGAAAATCATGATTTTCTGTTCAAAATATTGGTTAGCTACATTTTCCATTGCCTGATACTCTTCTTCAGCAATCTTTGCAGAGCCTCTTTTACCTCTTTGTTCCTCAGGGTATAGATGAGAGGGTTCAATAATGGTGTGACCACAGTGTAGAAGAAGGTGAAGAATCTACCATATTCAGAAGCAAATTTGCTTTTAGGATCTGTGTAAGCCATTGCCACTGTCCCGTAAAACATGAAGACAACCAAAAGATGGGAGGAGCAGGTGACAATGGCTTTTTGCCTCCCTTCTTCTGATTTGATTTTCCATATGGCTTGAGCTATATAGCTATAAGAAGTTAAGATCAAAGCCACAGGCAGGATAGTGAACAGGATGGCTGAGATGGTCATTGGCCACTCATTTAAGGTAGTGTCTCCACATGCCAGACGTATGAGAGCAGGCACCTCACAGAGAATGTCATCCACACGATGGTGGGCACAGAAGGACAGCTGAAGTGTAATAGGAGATTGGATCAGCGATTCCATCAGGCCAGAGATCCAGGCCATAAGGGCAAGCTTCCAACAGAGTGGACGGTTCATGATGATGGTGTAGTGCAGTGGCTGGCAGACAGCAACATAGCGGTCAAATGCCATCACCACCAGCAAGACACCTTCTGTCACACCAACACCAAGGAACATGAACAGTTGGATGACACAACCTGTGTAAGTTATGGTCTTCTCTTGCCCCCACAAATTTGACAACATCTGAGGCACTGAGGTTGTGGTAAAGCAGAGCTCCAAGAAGGAGAGATTGCTGAGAAAGAAATACATAGGGGTGTAGAGATGAGGGTCAATACAAGAGAGCATAATGATTGTCATATTGCCAAAGACAGTCATGATGTAGAAGATAGCCACAATCCAGAAGAGAACTTTTTCCAGCTGGGGCCATTTGGAGAAGCCTAAAAGGATAAAGTCCTTTGGTGTACTTGTGTTGGTCATTCTTGCTGCATTTGGTATTGGAGTTAAGATATAATTGTGAGTAGAATTTTGTAAAGTAGTTTGGAGAAAGGCTCTACTCTTGTTTATTCAGATAAAGCAAACATTATTAGTTGTTAAAGAATTATTGGGACATAAAACACATAGCTGTTTCATCTTACAATAATAAAATACAGTCTTTCATTTACAAGGCTGAATTGTTTACAGTAAAGGAGAATTTGGAAGTTTCTACCCCTTGGAATTCATCTTTGGATTCTGAAATCACAACACACCCAGTGAACTCCCTCACAATGTTCTTACAACATTGGGTTCCTTCATAATAGTTCTTTCAGTCCTTTGCTTAGGAGTGACTGTAAAATAATTGCAATGATAAGTTGAACACACAGCTTTATCCTTAAATATGTAATCCCCCAATAGAATATGGAATTAATTATTTTGCATTGTTTGGTGATGTTAATAGTGTCATATTCAGTGGCAATTATCCCAAAAGCCGGTCTTTCAGCTCTCATCAGCAAACAATATAGACTCTAAAAAGTGAGACCCTGATCATCATATCTTTTTTGGGGGGTCTCTGACTAAGGACTTCAAAATAAAAGATATACCAGTTTTTATATGAGACAAACCTAAGTTGAATACCTAGTTCTTTCACCTTAAGTAAAGTAACTTATTTAAGCAAAGAACTTACAGCTCCCAAAGAACTACTATTTGCAAAATAGTTATAATAATTCCCACCTCAGAAGATTAAGAAGGGTAACAACATCCAGTTGTTGTGTGCCTTCAAAAGTTAATTCTGGCTTATAGTGACCCTATATGATAGAATAAAACTATCCCATAGAGTTTCGTAGACTGTAACCTTTATGGGAGCAGTTTAGCTGATCTAATCTTCCATGGAGCAGCTGTTGGTTTGAATGTGCAGCCTTTTGTCTATCAATCATCTGAGTGGTCAACAGTTGTGCCAACTGGGACTTCTTAACAATATACTAGTGCCATTAATTTTTAGCACAAAAAATTAAGCACTAAAAAATATGTAGAACAGAAAGTTCAATGATTGGTATTTAATTTTTATCCTAGAAATGTTCTTTTTGTTATCTTCAATAATTAACTAGGCTTATGAAAAAATGTCAAGGAATGACTATTATTAAAAAAATGAAAATGAACCAAACTGGTAAAATTATTAAATCTGTGACAATTATAAAGTTGTGCTTCATAAACCAGGGAAAAGATGAACTAAAGTATTAGATAATTAATAATAACCTGACACATTGGATTTAGATAACATAGTCATGAAATATTAACTTCCTGTCTTCCAGGAACGATCCAATAGTTCAGAGGAAACCAAGAACATGAGATGCACAGAAAAGTATTATTACTTGAAAGGAAACTGACTCATATGTTGTGAGAATTAGATTATGAAAATGGACAAACATTGCAAAAATTTGAGCAATGATATGATTGTTGTTGTTGTTGTTGTTGTTTGCCATCGAGTCAGCCCCGACTCATAGCGACCCCTCCTTGGGTTTCCGAGGCAGTATCACTACGGAAGTAGGATTGCCCAACCTTCCTTCTGAGGAGTGGCTGGTGGGTTTGAACCGCCAGCCTTCTGGTTAGCAGTCAAGTGCTTTTAGCCACTATGCTACCAGAGCTCCCAATGATATGATAGACTACCTCTATTCTATTGCAATTTCATAGGCATTTGTTCAGTGCCTGCAGGGTGCACAACCCTGTGCTGGGATTTGGGAACATCTTGCAAATAAAACAGCTGAAATCCAGCTTCTATAAAGCTCGCAGCCCTGTGGGAGAGAAAGAAAGCAAGAACACAAATGAATTAATAAATATTTCAGATGGACATGTTGTTAGATGCCGTCAAGTCATCTCCAACTCATAGTGCCTCTATGTACAACAGAATGAAACACTACCCAGTTCTGTGCCAGCCTCAAGATCCCTGCTGTACCTGAGCCCATTGTTGTAGTCACTGTGTCAATCCACCTCTTTTTGGTTGACCCTCCAGTTTACCAAGCATGATATCCTTCTCCAGAGAATGGTCTTGCTCACAACACGACCAAAGTAGGTGAGATGAAGTCTGGCCAGTCTCAGTTCCAAGCAGCATTCTGGCTGCACTTCTTCCAGGACAAATTTATTAATTCTTTTAGCAGTCCATGGTAATTTCAGTATTCTTCGCTAACATCATAACTCAAAAGCATCCAATTCTTCAGTCTTCCTGTCTTTCTTATTCATTGCCAGATGGACATGTTGTTGTTGTTGTTGTTAAGTGCCGTCGAGTCGTTTCCGACTCATAGCG